ATTCCTGGGGTTCTGCCTTATGCCCAGTCTGGCGGGTGGCAGCAGGGCTAGAGCTTGGACATTTCAGACAAATGGGTTATTAACATCAGATTTTAAAATTCACTATTCTCCAAGTGAATTTCAATGCTCAGTCACCTTTAAAAAGAAAATTAAATGTGAATAAATTTACCTGTCATACTTAAGGCCATTTTCTTTCACCTACAGCTATTAAAGATAAATGTCTTTAAGCAGGAGTTCTTAAACCTTCTTAAATATAAAATAACAGAAAATCATCATCTAAGTAATCTTTAAAATCAACAATTTGGGAAGGGGAGGTAGGAAATACAAAAAAATCTTTCTAATGGATTTTGAAACAAAACCAAGACAAAGGTGGTAAACAAAGTTTTTAGATCTACCTAGTAACAATATTCAATTTTTTTCTTTAAAACAGCAGAGGACTGACATGTTCCCTAGAATTCTAGGCAGAAATCTAGAATTCTAAAAAAGTCAATTTTTATACCAGTGACTATCAAAAAAAAGGGCAAAAATAACAGTTAAGCATTCAGTAAACGTTAGCATTGCATTCAATTTACACCACTCTAACTTCAAAAATAGATTGTATGCAGCTACTCTAAGCAAAAAAAAATACCTTTCAAAAGCGGAACATCATGGACTAAAATTTAAAGTCACCGTCCAGCTTATTAATTATTTACTCCGGAAAATACAGACAACCGTTTCCAAACACACTTGTTTAAGAGAGCACATCTAATGTGCCAATAGAGATTATCTAACATACAAATTGAACACGTTTTCCTTGAACAGTATGTCACCAGGGGACAAACTCAGCAATAGGATTTGTGTGGGAATATAGCTGCATAGCCCCTGCACAAATCGGGAAATCCTCCATTTCTACAGCACAGCAAGGAATATTCCTGCAGTTTGATGCTATATAGGAATATATGACATCCAGAAACAAACTTCTGAGCTTCAGAAAGTACATTCCTGAGGAGATACTCTTAGCATTCAAAGATTAGTACCAGGCAACTCTTTCAAATACACAAGTTCACAAGAAATCACTCAAATGGTCTCTGAATGACAACAATCAATCTCATCAATTCATTTGTTTTTACTGGCAAAGAAAATTAAAGAAGGAAATCAAAAGGCTATAAAAACATACAAGGAGGGAGAGAGTTTTTTAGCTGCACTATTATTTCTTTTAAAAACTGTTAGCCTAACATTGCCTTTATTTGGGAGTACTACTTTTGAAAAGCATCAATGCTTCTCTATCTCCTATTTAGTAAATCATAGACATTGCGCACATAAAATACAAATTGTTTATAATCTGCATATGATAACTTTCTATAATAGATCAATGTATTCAGAGTAAAACTAAATATGAACTTTTTACCTTGATTAAGGATGTGATCACAATTGCTCCAGCATTCACCATAGGGTTATGAGGCCTGTCTGTGAAATAAAACGTTTCAGTTATAGATATAAGTCCCGACACACTTGTCAAACAAAACCAGGCAAGGGTAAGTCAAAAACAGTCACAAATAGAAAATATATCGCTTAAAACTATGGTTATCAAATACAATCCCAAATTAATGCTCTGTAATCCGGCATTATACACTTTTTTGGTAAACTCTGTGCTAAAATTTGGTAAACTTCAGTACTTAGAACACATTCAGCCTAATGGTATCAAGCAGTCATCAGGAAAATATGGCAGCGTATCATTTAGTATCTGGCAACCTCTCTAAAGATTTCCTTCCAAGATTTGACCAGTGCAGCCTGACTTCCAAATGGCTTTGCATTTTTTTTGTGCAATTTGCCAAATCCCACTGATTTCAAAAGTATACGAAGTTCCTTTTTATTTTGTTTAAGCATTCTTAATTCATCATGGTTCAATATAAACACAAAATCGTGAACCTTCGTTTAAGATTGAGTCTTTTCTATTGTTTTCTTCTAGAATTCAAGCGCCAATTTTATCACGCTCAGTTGTACATGATCTGTGTTAGAATCACCTTGCACCTGCTATGCTTAAGCCTCTGTTATTCTCACTCATCTTTGCATCCTCAGGATTTTTGCATTCTCAGGCACTCCTGGCCGCTCTTGGGAACATATCAGCAATTTTCCCCCCCTCCTTAAAGCCTTCCTTATCAGCTATTTCCAGCTGCTGGTTTTCATTCCTTGGCAATGTTTCAATTCCCCCTTCTATTTGCCGCCGCTTTACTTCCACGTCTGGAACACGCTCCTTTGCGAGCGCAGGGTAGGACACCTCCAGCAAGGCACCTGCGACCCTTCCAGGAGAGCCAACCCCTCTGGCTTCCCAGGAAAGCCACTGCCACCGCTTATCCAAGCGGCAGCATCCCAACACTTCTCGCACGTGGATACCTCTGGTTAATCGCCTGATTAATGACCCTTTTGTCAATAGCTACCATGAGCTGTCTCTGAACAGACTTATGCATTGCTTCTTTGTTTGTTTCCTCGGAATTTTAATGGTCTGAATACAAATCTTGCATTCTGAAAGATTCCTGATTCCTCCTGATTCCCGATTCCTCCTGCAGACGATGCTTCCCCTCCCGCACGTGTTTTCTTAGGGTTGTTTTGCTTCTTGTTCTGATCACCAAGAAGCCCACAAGTCGACTAGCAGCCTGCTGTGCAATGACACGGGCCACAGACTAAACCCTCCTGCTCGAGTTACGCGGCCGCTGCTGACCTTTTTCATGCTCCTGTTGGCCTGATACCTCTTGCACAACTCTGCTTGGCGGTCTGAGCAGAAAAAGCAAGCTGTTGCCACACGTACACAATTCAGACACTGAACTAAAACCTTCCTCCCTTCTTTTCTCATTCTCAAAAAACAAATTTCTCTTCCATTTCACTGTTCCTATGAGACTCCTACCTCTCATTTTGCAGATTCCGCTGGACTGCACTGAACAGGATTTTATCTAGCACATTTTTTAATGTCAATTGTATCGGCCACGCAAACAAAAATTATAACTTGTGTCATGTGAGTTATCCTTATCTGCTCATTTCAGAAGTCTCCATTCCCTTAGTGTATAGCACACTTAAAAAAGCTAATAGTGATACAATAAAACACACCTTCATAATTCTTCTATCTCATCGCTGAATTTTAAATCAGTAATAAAGAAAACAAACTAACTGCTACATTTCTGTTGTTCCGAGGTAAAGAGAACAACTCTGAGCCACTGAAAACACATGGCCAATATCCAGCACCACCAAAAGAACCTTCTCAGAGCACACGCCACAAACTTCTGTACATTTTAAGAGACCATATTTGAAAATCATTAAAAAAATATAAAGTTTGACAGAATCTTCTAAATAACACTGGTATTTCTTTACCATCTACTAACATCCTAAAGACGAGGGATAATTTTCTTTAAGACTTATATGCAAATTTGGAAAGTTGATTTTAATGGACATATTAAACATATTTGTAGATGATTATTTAATATATTTGATGAGTTTGAATTCGATATAGCCCTTGACAAAAACATGCTATTAATTAAATATTAATTGCAATACCATGGCAACTGAAACAGTGCCTTTCTCAGAGCAAGACCTGCTAGAAACATCTGTTTTTCAGCAATCAGATCCAGCGTTTCCTCTATGGCCATATGACTCATCCTCCTCAGATTTTATCATAGTGCTTTGAGAAGTAACATTTTTGAATTTGAGTATTAACATAACACTAAAAAAAAAAAAAAAGCAGCAACCTAGGTAAGTGCTATAAAAGTTCTTGCTAAAGCATCCCTGCCACGAAACCTTTGTTCTGCATCAGCATCTGAAGGCAGTTTGGAGCGACCCGTGGAAAGGCTCAGCTGCTGTTTCTTACAGGCCAGCCAGGCCTGGCCTCTGGCATCAGCAACTGCTTCCCCAGACACCTGAGAAGGCCTGAAGGATTCTTCAACTACCACTTTACTGAAGGCAAGATGAAGAAACACTCACTATCAACTTTACTAAGTGAAAGCACAATTTTAAATATGCTTTCCAAATACCTGCATTGTCAAAACACTTCATTTTTCTACAGCTTGACATTAGCGAGCTAAATGAAATAATGAACCACCTTAGAGGCAAAAAGCAAGTGACACAAAATAAGTCTATCTGGCTGCGGGAAAAGTTTTTTGGGGATATGATACAATAAGAGGACTTAAGAGGCTGCAGCAGAAATGAACTGCAAGGAACTGGGCAGCATAAAATGCAGCACTTGCATTATTAAATATTATTCAACTCTTACCATCTTCATTCAGGAACAATTTGTTGAATCTCAATCCACTAGGCTCTTTGCCAACATATCTGTGCACGTACTCAGTGCCAAGATCATTAACAGCAATAGCATATTTCAAAGGCTTCACACAGGACTGAAGACAAAATGGAACTTTGGTATCTCCAACCGAATGCCTGGTAAAAACACAAGTGAAGATGCTTCAAATTTCCTGCCCGTCACCTGGCAAGAGCAATATTAAATGCTGCATCCATTCTTCAGAATACTAGGACTAATAGCAAAAATAACATAAAACCCACAAATATTTAGTTACTTTTTAAAGCAGAGAAGATACAAGAGTGTAACCAACCGTCTCCATAAAATAAATAAAATGTATCACTAACTGGACATTATTATAAATGAAAGAAAACTGGAGCAAGTTAGGAGATGAGGTTGTACCAATGCAAAAATCAGCTTAAAAACTCCAGTACTTGAACCTGTATACTCAATAGTTGGTACTGTTAACCTGCATAATAGCCATATTTATGTCTATATAAAGAGGAGATGCAGGTAAGTTTTCGACTTGAAATAGCTGAATTTGCATTCCTATGGATTAAAGCAGGGATTTTTTAAAATTATTATTAAAAATGGGAAATTTTACCTTTTGGAAAGTTTAGTTTCAACATCAAATTTAGACTGTACAAAACAAAGACTCTTACAAGCAGCACATGTCCCACCTAAAACAACAGGATCCGAGCAACCGCTTGTCTGATGGCAAAATTGGAAGTCTATTTGCTTGTTTCATTTGCAGAAAGTTTGGGAAACATTCAAAGAAATTCACTCCACAGAGCATAATGAAGCCACTTTTGCAGAAGGCTGACAGGTAAGTTTAACACTTTGCTGATATCCTCCCCTAGAGTTTACAGATCATATGGCTACATAAACCCCAAGTGGATTTTACTTCTCAAACAACTTTAGCAAAGCTTTTTCCTCACACCATACCATACCACCAACGCCGCATACAGCCGTTTATCTTAAATATTTGAATCAAGAGAGTTTAGAAGTTTAAAGCTACCTCTGCCCATCCACCGTGCAGAGCGAGACGCCCCACAAATCAGGGCTGAACTTGGCCAGTTGTGGAATATAGTCAGCAACCTACAGTAACACAAAACAGAACAGAGATGTTTATACAACCCAAAATACTTAGTTAAGTGCTACTGCTATGTTCATTAATTAAAACGAATGCCCGCGGAAAGTGCATTTTGAGTATAACACTTATTCTACTAATGATCACACAGCTAGTCTAAAAGCTCAGTATTGATTTTTTATTATATCAGTTACATCATTACCTTGTACTTTTTCTAATTAAAACATCTTTTCTTTAAAAAAAAAAAAACACTCAAAAAACCTCACTTTGTGGCTCATTTTAGCCGTAGCGATTTTTGAAGGAGAATAAAAACAGCCTGGCACACATGCACACACCCAAACACACCCATTTACAACTGGGTTACCTTTCCTCCTGATTGCTTTTTAGCACTTTCATATAGCTCATCAATATGTGAAGTAAACGACATAAAATCTGGAATGACAAACTTCCGCCTGAAAGCTTGAGTCAGCAATACAATATTACTCTGTACACACCTGTGAAACGTCAGAGCAAAAAAACATATTAGTGTTTTGACAAAGAACTGTTCAAAAACTACTCTAAATAGTCAGCATTCGCCACTGCGATAAAGACAGGCAGTCCCTTGAACTCGTGCTCACGTGAATATAGCTTCGTTAGAAAGAATTTTCCATTCCATAAATTATGATTTTTTAAATTATTTACTATTGTTTCACTGTGTTCATTTTTATGCCTTTTTATTTCAAGTCTTATTCGCAATTTCAACTCTGAGGTTGCACTGCAAGGTATCAATGTTATATTTTTCCTTGAATAGCCTCTAAGCTTCCTTAAGGCATGCATCTAGGCCACGTATTTCTTAGAATCGCGACTGTACAGAGCTCTTCCAACCCAGGCCTTGTTCAGAACAGTGCTAATTTCAAAGCCAGGTCAGGCTGATAGGGTTGAGGGTTGGTTTCCCTCACTTCCAACTGCCTTCACCATGAACTGGGCAAGAAAGCTACCAAATTAAAAAAAAAAAAAGGGGGGGTTAAAAAAGTATGTAGTATATTAGGATAAGAGAGGTAGTAAAGAAGTGGAAGGACTCCATAAGAAGCACAGGTCCATCTCTTCAAACTGTCACCAGTTAAGTGATCTTTGCTGTATTTTACCCAAAAGTTACAGTTTTGTCCACACCCTCCAACCATAAGCCCGTCTGGCACATATAAAACGAGCGATGAGGTGAGAAGGAAAGGACTTATCTAGGAGGAACAGAGGGCCAAAGCAGGACGTGTGTTTGCAAGCGGGAAGGGTGGTGGCTGTGAACGGGAGCCGGAGCACGGCCGTGTCACGGCGCGGGATCGAGCGCCGGCGGCTCCGTCGCAGCCAAAGGGACAAGGGGGCAGGTTTGCCAAAGCAGCGCTCGCTCCCAAGACGTTCACCTTGTGCCTTCTGGCAGCACTGAAGGAACCACTAGCATACTGTTAATTTAGACAAATTGAACTTGCCTAGGCTCGTATTACAGAGCGGAATGCATTCGCCCAGCAAGAACTTCCGAAAAGTTAAAAATTGACTTTTTTTTTTTCCAAGAAACACTTTTGGTTAAAAAATATACTTCCAATAATCCTATTATTAAAAGTCACTAGTAGTTCAAAAGAAAGTTGTGAAGTACGAGCAAGCAGACGGAACTATCTTCTCCTTGAATCTCCCTCCTCCTTAGGGGGCTCGAGCTGAAACTCCTCTGTACTTAGGAGGCTCTCAAATTCAGCTGACAACCCCTCCAAACACTGGTACGCACCACTCTCTAAGGGTGAAAACAAATAAAATAAAATAAAATAAAAAACAGTAGCTTCCTGCATAATCGTAGGCATCCTAAGAATTGCTCACTCTCTCCTATTTGTAATAAACGTCGTTAGTGCAGCAGAACCAATAACATACAGATGTATGAGCTTTAGCCTTTAGATGCGCTCCAACACAGTGTGCAGCAGACAGTGCTCAAAGCTCTTTTAAGAGGAAGATTCAAGGTTCAGGGCCCAGTGTGCAGAACGAGAGGAAGGCAGCATGCACTGAAAGGCAGTCATCTGCACACACCACATGGCGATTCTGAAGCAACAGGACACATTTATACACCTACTGCTCCAAACCAAGCCTAGCATCTCACTCCAACAACTCGATCATGAAGCTAGAGGTTGGTGCTCATTCCCTGAACAGCTCTGCTGGTTGAGCATGGAGAAGAGTTACTCGTGGGTGACTTTCTCGTGAACATTCACGAATACTCTCGTGAAATATTAGCAAGCACTATCTGTTCTTTGCAACATTTGTAACATGCTTCCTTCATCCTTGAGACAGACAAAACATCTCCGTGAAGTTCACAAAACATCACCCCGCCAACAACTAACTTTCTAACAGAAGACAAAGATGCGACTTTATGAAAACTGCAGCCACTAGCACAAAGTTGAGACCATCTTGTTCCTTCGGCCTACGACTTGTTAATACAAGCACAATACTTGCTAATACAACAGAGAGAGAAATCTTTCTGTTTAAAAAGTTATACTGTATGCTTATAGTATTACAGTAAAGAATGCAAAGCTTCATTTTCAACTAGCAGGAGTAGTATTGTACAAATGTTTAAGATATTTAGATATTTTGGAGAAAGTAAATGCAAGACTAATAGCTTTTCATAAATAAGATTAATATTAGAATATACATATAGCTAAAGAAACTTCTGTATCTTCAGACACAAAGGCTTTTTCATCAAACTAAGAGGATAAAAACCTTCATTAATATCTAGGTCACATATACTTAAAATGAAAGTCTCCAGGATTTGCTATCTAGGGTTAGAGAGCAGCATAACAGTTCCCCAGAAAATATATAAGCCCGTCTGAGATCTATAAGTGATTGTTAGGTTTATGGAACATATCCAGATTGCTGCTTCCCACCAGCAGATCAGAGGAGATTTGGGCAGCCAGATCACAATTCAAGGTCAGTGAAGTGGGCCAGGCAGGGCCTTGCGACAAGGCTCAACCCATGCGGCCTCCGCAGGTTATTCCGAAAGAGGAACAAATTTAAACCCACGTAGTACTCAATGGGCTTTGCAGTTTGCAAAATGTATCTGTTCTGGATGCCTCACAGTTTGTTCCTATTTTGGCAACAGACACTGACCAAAGTATTGCTAGTAAAAAAAAAAAGTGCCTTTCACAAGTCCAGTTAGCTTTTTTCCAGTTAGCAAAGTGCTATGAGCTGAAAAAAAAACACGGCTATGGGAACATGGGTGGACTGTTTAAAAAGATTAGAAATTTTCGAACGGATTAGATAAAATGTTATAAATACAAATCTAAATATTAGGATATGTCATAAGATGCACACACTTCATGAGGAAGATTAGAGTACACAATCAAATTTGAAAGATTACATATTACCTAACATAATTACATTTAAATACAGCACCATAGCTATAGGGATAGCAATAAGTAAGAAAATAAATGAAAATAAACCCCACAAAATCTAACTAACTGGATGCTGTTCGTCATTCACTAAGGAAGCTTTTCTCAACAAGATATCATGCTCCTAGGACTGTGTATTATGTTACGCAGATACATCATCATAAGCAATTCATTCAACACATTTTTCAAATTCTTCCTCTGAAACATGTACATCAAGAAGAATTTCAATGGCAGCAAAGTCTGCAGAGGAAAGATCAAAAACCCAAGTAATTTTTCCTGTAGCACGGAGATTTTCTTCCAATTATTTTTGTTGCTTAAAATGCAGCGCATTGAAAAGCCAAAATCTTCAAAATAAGGCAACTTTAATCAAACTTAATGTTTAGAAGAAATAATAAGTTGTTAAGCTAATTTAAGAAGATACATTTTTACACATGGACTGGGATTGATTGATTGATTGACTGAGCCAAGTTACTGCTTTTGATACTTATTTACCCTTGTTGCTTCATTTGCTTTAACAACTTTGGATGCAAATTCAACAGGAGAATTACCAACTTCTATGTTTGGGAACTGAAGCTCCAAAGTCCTGAAGTAAGTACAGCTGAGCAGTTAAGTGATTAAATTTTAAAATCTTTAACATATTGGTAAGAAAAAAATAAGAAGAGAAAAGAAAGAACCTTGACTGAGTCTCCAAACAGCAACTGCAGAGTGCCCAAGTGGAACGGATAGCTATATATATATATATATATATATATATATATATGTATATGTATATATATATAAAATAAACACACACACATACATATATAAATAAATAAAAGAAAAAAGAAATAGCAGGCTGGGAACACCTACTGCTGTGAAGGAAAATCTGCTATGTGAAAAGGGGGTCACCTTTCTATCTCCTCCGCAGTCTTTGTGTCCAAAACTTCTCCTACACAAGAAGCAACCATGTAGGTTTTCCACAAGTTCCCATAGAAACTTGCAGTCCCCTAATATAGGGAATCAAATCCTAGAAATATGATGTAGAACACGATCCAATCTTTTAGCCTGTAAATAGCAATTGCTTGTGGGTTTTGGTGGGTTGTTTATAGAAAGCTCTTGCCTATACAGAATTTCTAGTCTACCAATACAAGCAAGACCACCTGGTGTAAACGCAGTGCACGACAGCAAGAGCATTTTTCAGATACTACCATACACCCAGAACAATTCTGACTAACATGGAACTAGCACAAAATGGCATTATTTTACCACTTCAAAAAATGCTTGTCCAGTACAGAATAGAAATGTACCATTCTGAAAGAAATGTACCATCTTCTCTTCAGGACAGAAGCTGCTTTTAGCTGTTACTACCCTTGGCCTATAGGGAACAGAAATACAGGCCCTCAAAACAGCCTGAAAAGTCTATTTCCAGATTTGGGTCCCCATATTTACAATCTTTGGCACACAAAATAAACTGGAAGAGAATGTGTGAGCGTGCTTGGAGGATAAGCTGACAGTGCTTATACTTTTAGCCAACTATAGACATTCCTTAAGCAGAAGCATCAGTAAAATATTACACATAATCTTTTCTGAAACAGACCAAAGCAATGCCTACAGCTCTAAGTACTCTCAACTCTACACATCCTGAAGTTTCACCCAGCTCTCTACTTTGCATATACTCAGTTTTAGAGCCAACTTCATATATGCTACTAACTTAATGCTAAAAACGCACACAAATCTTACGTTACACGGAGGCAGCCCACAGAACAGGCAGCTAAAAGCTGACGATGCAGCAAGAAGTCTTCCATGCTTGTCCTGAATATCCCATGCTGCACCGATTAATTTATTTGGCAGCCAGCTGGGAGCTGTGGCATGGGATCCAGTACACACAGAAGAAACACTGATACACAGAACTCTTGCAGAGACGCTGTACTACATTTCATGAAACCACAGAATAAGCAATATGAAAATAGCAGCAGTATAACTGAGCATGGGTTTCACCCCCTTTCTAATTACCCAGTGATTTATATACCCTATGTTTCTCCTAAGACAGTAGTCAATAACACACATACAACATCCATTCAGAATTGTAAAGTAACATTATTAACAGAAAGTTTACTTTTTAAAAAGGTCTTTGTCCAGCATAACACCATCTGAAGTTGTTTGAAGGGTCAGTCTTAACATATCCATGCACTCTTTCAACCTGGGATCAGATGTACGTAATCCTGTAGATTTGAGTGCCTATTACAATAAAACAATAATTACTAAAGTGAAAAAGTAATGGTTACAACAAAGCTCTCTATTTACCGAGAGACATCCGCTACTACATGAGCATCAATATAAGGACATGCTGATACTTTTTGTTGAGTCTTTTGCCATTCTGGCAAAAGATCTGTTTCCATACACATGGTGCTCCAGCTACGCTTTGTACCATCAGAAATACTCCCTAGCCCTAGACATACACGTAGACCCTTTTAAGCTTACTCTTACACTCAGTGTGTAAGTGACTGGTACTAGTATGGTTCCAGTAGTTCTCTTTCTTGATTCAGAGACAAGTTATTTCTATCATATTCTTGCATTCAGAACATTAAAAAAATAATAATAATAGGAAAAAAAAAACTTTTAATACTCTGGAACAGTAAACTTACAGTAATGAATTTATGAACGGGTATTTTTTCTTGTCCTTCGGCAATAGTGTAGAAGAGAAGATCTTCCAAGCTAGGCAGGAGACCTTGCTTCGTTTTGCTGAAAGGAAGAAAACACAGACACAGGTTAATTCAGTGAGTGCATGTGACTTTATAAACCTGCGTGTGTTCATGTGTGCATGCATACACATATATACACACACACACGTATACACACATATTTTTGTGTTGTTTACAAAAAGTTTCTATCAATATAACAGCTAACCTGATTTTGAAGGATGCTGCAAGCAAAGTTTAATTCAGCTTGACACACAAGAAACAGTAATATCAGAAGGAGCATATATGTGATACAGATAAAATATCTGCTATTGTAAAGTAACAGTCCTATTTTTACTGGCATATGTTCATTTCCAAGATGATATTTAGAAAGCTTTTGCAGTGGGTTCATCACATGTCCCTCTCTGCGATGCTGCGGAAGACAGAAATGCTGCTTGTGCAGAGGATGAAGTAAGACACGGAGACCTCCGTGTCTCCCAGTAACACTGTAAGAGCAGACTGGCAGCTCTCCAGGCTACAGAAAACAAGATGATGCATGATATTATTTTCCTCAAAAATCTATTTCCAGAAGCCACATTTTTGAAAAGGGAAAGTTGACCACAGCCCAGTAGGTTGTTATTTAACGCCAATGAGTCATGCTAAGATGCAAGGCCCACCTGAAAGGTGCCTGTTCCCCTGAGAGCTGATGCCATCCCCCCGGTGCCAGGGAAGGCCAGCAAAGCCCCTGCAGCGCAACGCAGCCGCGGGGAGCAGCGCGGGCGCCGCAGGCAGGGGCTCTGGGCCCGCAGCCCCGCAGCCAGCACGCTCTGCAGCTTCACCTCTAGCGATCAGCGCGGAACAACAACTCACTGCCCTTAAAATTCTCCCATCAGACACACTGCTCACACACTTGTAGCCTTTCTGCAACTCAGAGCTCCATTTTAAGTGAAACGTGAAGATGATCTACCCAAGTAAGCATCAAGCCTCCTCCCAAGACACTGTCTCCGATACCGAGGGTTCTCCTTCCAAACCTGCTGAAGTTCCGTCAAGGTCTAACCTCCAGAGTCTCATCTTTCCTTGATGTTCCAATGTATTCCACAGCAGGTAGGAATGTAAATCTATAGACAACTCTCTATACTACCCCCCATCTCTATACTTCCCCTAGTCCCAGGCGCTTAGATTTCTTTTCAGGCAAAGTCAACTTGGGCAACACCAATATTTTAATATTTGGCCAAAAAAAAAAAAAAAACTTTTTCTAGTGAAATGCAATCATGAAAGTTTTCACATGCTCAAACGTTCTTTGAACTGCAAAGAAAGATGACTCTCAGCCTTCTGGGTTATAAGTGCAATAATAAATACTGCAGTCAGACACAGAACCTAAGTAGGCCAATGCAACCTCATAGGCAGACTTAATCCTTCCTCCTCTCCCAATACTAGCTTAGTCTAGTTCAACAACAGGTCAGATTGATGATTAATTATTTTTAATAAAAAAAAGATTATATCTAAATGCCTTTTGCATTTTGAAGACAGCCTTTTTGACTACACTTGTCTCCCTCCTTTCCTCACAACCAGCAGTAAAAAAAGTAAAAACCTCACTTATTTTCTATTTTAATACCTACACACTAAGAACAGAAGACACCTTTGTAAGGCAACAGAACTTTCCTTGTTTTTCAGTCTGGATTAGTCTGGCTGACTAATGCATAGACAGGCTGGCAATTCAACCAAGACAAACACTTGCAACTACCTCAAGCAAGTCACTGAACGGCATTTTTCTTGAAAAAAAGTTAAGTCATCCATTTTGCACGTTGCAGTTCCAAACGTTGGAGAAGGGCATTTCCAGACAGGCCAAGAGAACCAAAACAATCAGCACAGCAATAAAACTTTCCTCCTGTATCTCCAGCTTGGCTCTTAAGAGATTTTAACTGATGGTCAACTTCATTACAAGTTTCTTAACTATTAGTTGGGATTTTACAGCTGCCCCAAATGTGGAATTCCTTGGAAAAGCACAGAACTAAACTTCAAACGTTCGACCAGGATTCCCTGCCTCTCTGCCAGCCTCGCATCCATTAGACATGTGCTTTTCACAGCACACGGATTCTCTCCTGAAATAGTTTCCATATCTTTCACATCTGCTGCTGCTCCATATTGAGTCAGTCAGCTTAATTTAACAATAGATCTGCACTGGCTGCCAAAGCAAAGAGGACAGCTCTCGATATATTTACAGAAAATTACTCTTTCTCAAATAGTCCATCTTTTGATAAAGTTTATCAGTTAAGCAGAGGTGGAAACGCTTGCTGTGCAGTTTATCAGCTCAATTATGTCAGTAACTAATATTTGCCTAACCTAAAAGCAGTGTTTTGGCACCACGAGCAAACTTAGCAGGACAGCACTGCTCAGCACAGGCTGCAGAGAGCCACATTTCTGAAGGGAACTTGCTATTTTCATAGTCAAGGTAAAGTGGAAATTCCAGTTTATTCTCTCCTTTGTGCATCATGCCAAATTCTGACAAATTGAAAAATGTAAAAGGAAAACAATGCTATTCTAGGGTGTAGGTGGGAATTTGGTAGATTCTCCCCTTTTTCCGAGTAACATGCAGAAACCACGAGGGCAAGAATTTTGTTGTTCCTTTCAGCCCCACAGAGGTCCTAGCATAGACGATTTTGTTTTTATAAAAGCCAAATTATAATTCTGTCTTACAATACAGTAAAGTATTAAAGTAGTTTTATAGTAGTTTTCAAGTAGTTTAATACGAAAGTATTAAACTAAACTATTAAACTGTAAAACTATTAAACAAGGTGGGTGATTTTTTTTTTTTTGCTTTATAATAATCTACAAGGCAGTTTTCTAACAGCCTTATCTATAAATAGAGGGCCTGAAAGTGCCAATTCATTTCACCTGCTGATGGAACTACCACTTCTGCTATCTAGCAGGGATGAGAGCTGCCTCCTGGGAAAACATCCCCGCTTGACACTTACGGTGTAACCAAATAAAATGCAGACAAGATTTACAAAAGCACGGGCGATAGGAAGATATGGCAAGACTGATAACAGTATCAGACCTCATTCCCAAGGCATTAACGTAAGCTCACAACGCTTTAAGGTCCCAGCTCTGCAGAGAGAGGATCTCCAGCTGAAACGCGGCTGCCGGCCACCCCACGGAAGACGGAGCTGCTCCACGTGCAGAGCCAGGCGCTGATCCCATTACCAGGGAGGGGAAGCTCCTAAGAGCCTCGGGAGCGCCACGGAAAGCTATATTTGTAAATATTATTTACAGGCCTTCACAGCAAGGCGGCCTCGCGCTGGCGGCTATCGAGGCGGTTTTGCTCAAACAAGATCTGTTGCTTCCAAACTTTAGCTAGCCTCTACGGAAGTCACCGATGGCCTGATGGAAAACAAGGTCAAATACAGTTTGTTGCATTTGTGAGTTACTGTATTCACTTTGTGTAAAGGTAAAGTCAGCCGTGGTCTGTTACTATATAGTTATTCCTCTGTAAACTGGCCTGGATGTGAAAGGAAAACAAACTTTAAAAAGACATTCCCAAAGTTTCTTCCTATGCTTAAGAAGGAGCATTTAAATTGTCAATTTAAGAAGAAATGAAACACCTTTGCTAGCAATTTTATTACGTTTAGGAAAATATGTGCAAGAGCATCTGGATCGATAAAGAGGTTATGCAATAGGATCCTGCTTACTTCCTTAGCTAGAGGCCCTAGAATTTAGTCACTATTCCCTAATAAGGGATTAATCTGTTCTGTATTTCTGTATAGTCTTTGCACGAAACATTTTCACTTCTCAGCTGCAACTACCACTCTCCATATATAAGGCTGTTAAGCAAGCAAGCAAGAAAAAAATAGTATTATATAATATTATTTTATATATTGTATATTATAATACCATATATATATTATATATATATAATGCCTGTCTTTTAACATTGCAGGTTATCCCAGCACCCTGGAATGCCAGAGCTTACAACAGAAGAGCAAAAGAGGGGGAAAAAAAGCACAAGATAAAGAGTCGGTTGTCCCTAATCCACCTGCAAAACGCAGCAGTGTGAATGCTGCACAGGGACAGCAAGGCCCCAGATTAAACCAGGCCAGTTGTCGGTTTAGCCCAGCATCCAAAGCATTCGAGACCTTCCCTTCCAAATCCCACACCCTGCCTTAACGCAGCCATGAATCCACACGCTCCCTGCCGCATGTGGAGGATTAAGGGAGATCTTCACGATTCCACACTGAGGAAACGCGGAATGGGGAAGTACCCAGCAGTTTGGCTGATCCACACTAACCAAAAGTTTGGCTAACGTGTCGCCAGAAATTCCTGCACAGCCTAAACCATTCCCAGCTTTTCCTTTGTTCATAGCTAACTGCACAGCTATCCCCTTCTCAAGGCTTTAAATAATTGGTCTGTGTATATTTTGTGGTAAGGCTCAAAGAACAAGCATCTGACTTTCAACTACATCCTTTTTGTCACAGGAAAAAGAAATACGAAGAAATGTTTAATTGCTTGGTGACTCCATATCTTTTCCAAATATATCAGAAATAACACTATTTCCCTAGTTGATGGAAAGTGTTACAAATACTCAGTTTAAAAAAAAGGTCACCTTTTGGATATACCACCTTCATAACACATTGGCTACTGTGAAATGCATATTATTAAATAATTCAAAGGAAAACCCTCACAATAGGCATATTTATTTGAAGATTTTAATGGCACTGTATGTATATAACACAGTGATTAAAATGCACATATATGTTATTATAATATGACCATATAATCAAAGATGCACATGTATGTAGAGGTTTTTTTTTCTTTTTAAGGAGTTCAAAAGGCATCAAGTGCCATTTTTACTGCCAAGGCAGCTGTATCCCAGTGAAACAAAAGGCCTGAACCAAGCCAAGAAGCAAAATATTTGGAAGGAGGAGAGCAAAAAGAAAGAAAGAAAAAAAAAAAAAACAAGATAAATGCTTCCCCTTGCTACCAGACTGAATGAGTAGCAGCTCATACAAACTCTCCCAAAGCTAAAGTTAAGGGCTGGAGCCTCCCTTCAGGACTGACCTTGTGCAT